TCAGTTTTGTAGGTTATTTCATATGTGATTGAGGTCTTTATTGATGTTTTTCATTGGTTTAGATTTCAAATATATGTTATACTTTTTCATTATTTAATGCATTATTATGGCATCATGTACTACTTCATTAGTTTTTTGGATTCCTTTTCATTACTTCAACAGGTTCAAGGGAAAAGATTTTTTGTTGGCTCATTTTGATGTTTTCTCATTCATTTACTATGTTCCTTTATCATCATTTTTTCTCATTTTTATATCATTAAGCCATTGGTGTATTTATACTTTTATTTAGTTTGTGCTTCCCCTTTTATATGCATTGCTTTACTTTTTTTTTTTATTATTAAGTGTTCCTTTTTTTCTTTTTTTCTTTTTTCTTTTTATTCGTATATTCAATCATTGTTTTAAGCGTCTATTACTTTATTCCATTGTTTCATTTCTTCCCATGAGATTTATTGATTGTATTTTTCTTTCTTGTCAAACAAAGATTTCATCTACCATTCTCTATTATCTTATTTCATTTAACTATTATGAATTATGATTCATTGAGCTTCTATTTAGGTTCCTTATAGCTTTTGCATAGTTTACAAAGTTCATCTACCTGGTTTGATGATTTTAGCTTCCTTTTTTATGATTTGTTTTCACAATTTTTTTCTCCTCACTGTGGTTGAATTGATGGATAAGATGTTGTCCAATAGGTTATTATAAACACATTTATATCACATTAGTGCTTATTTATGTTTTGATTCATTGATCTTTATTTCATTGTACTTACTTATTTATCACTTTACACATATGTTTGTGTATTTTACAAATTAGGTTTAAGGAATTGCTCTTTTGTTTTGTCATTTTCTTTCAGTGATTTAGTTGTGTTAACTTGATTTTACAAAATGCATAACAAGTGTGCAGCGTTTAGTTTTTTTACAGATAAATTAAGATGAGATTTGATCTTTAACAAAGAAAAGAAAACAAAATAAGAATATAAGCCTTCTAATTAAATTTTTGTTAATTATGATTGTCCATTTTATTAAAGGATCACATGAAGCTAGTTTCATATTTGTTGTTTATAAAATTCTTTAAAAGTATGTTACTAATGACAAATATAAATAATTAAGTTTTGGTGGTACTAAGAAGAAATGATCTTACAAAAAATATTATTTCTAACTATTTGAGCCTTCCCTGAATGACTAGAAATTCTTGGAATTTTAGCCTGATGAAAACCCCCCACACATGACACTTGGAATAACCCTTTCTGCATAATTGTTTTTAGGTTTTCACATAAACATTTTATACAAATTAAACTTTTTTGGTATGCAACTTTTTTCTATATAAAACAAGTACCATTTTTTGCGACAATAACACTGTTTATCATTAATATTTTCACTAATAGTGCATATGGCATAGCAATTATGGCATGAAACAATAATTAATGCAATCATCATGGCTAACCAATGATAACACATCAATTTCACCGTAAATGATATGTCTCTCTTTACATGAAAAAAATCCAATGACTCTGTATATAAATACACTTAATCACTAGGCAAAATCAAATCCCATCATTGGCCAAAGTCCACTTGGCCATTAAAAACCAAGCCTAACAAAATGTCATTCTAGGCAATAAAAAATAGTACAAGCTAACCATGTCAAGGTGTAGGCAATAAAAGTCAAACATAAAAGCCAACCAAAATTAGTCGTGCCATTCTAGGCCATAAAACAGCCAAAGCCAGCAATGTCATTTTAGGTTGTAAAAACCATTAAAGCCAGCAATGTCATATGTCATAGATTTTTTTTTCATATATAAATTTCTTTTGAATTTATTTTCATACACACTATATTATTATTACACTTATTTTCTTAAACATCAAAAGGTATCTTGTTTCAACATGGGATTTGTTTTGCAGGATAGTTCTTGGACGCGTGGTCAAGCCTAGTCATACCAATAGCCTAGGAAGCAACCATAGAAAATCTGATTTATGTCTAAAGTTTTTCTGCATCATTAAGTTTCTACTAACATTGATTGGTGATAAAGATTCTTACATGCATGCATGATCATTGAATTTCCAATTAAATCATTACAATAAAAAAGTTGTAATTTCTTGTGTTACATTATATTTAATATATTTTCTTACTAATCATTTGAGATTGCTTACTATTCTAAAAACACTTCTAAAAAAACAGTGCAATCAAAGACAACTCTAACCATTTGTTGTTAAGAAAAAAATCATCATTCAAAGTTGTTCGTGATGATTGTTGGCAGGTAAAGAACTCCAAATGTTTTAAAAAGAGGCTAGGGAATCGTCCATTCAACTTGTTGGTGATTCGAGGATGAATTATCTTGAAGAAAGAGGGAATGATATGATCTAGGCAAGGTTAAATTCGGATTTTGATGTAAAATATGCAGCCATCTAGTTTTACGACAATAGTCATAATTCTCAATTTGACCATTAGATTGGGATGAAATTTTATGTGGAGTCTTCAGACATGTTGTCCTATCTTGGGTTAAAATTTGAGGTTAATTGAAGTTTGGGAAGGCATCACAGTACTGCTCAATGAAGGTTGTATGTATTTTGTTATTTACTTCCTTTTGACTTGTAAATTTCCTATTTGGCTAAGATTCTTTTCCTAAAATGATGTGACAACTTGTTTTGGGAATCTTCTAGTTCTACTAAGATCTTTAATGGGTTGCACCATAGTTTTCAAGTATGGCAAGGATTCATAAATATTTCAGAATCCTTTTCTTATAAGAATTCCTTTTTCATCCTAGCTACAACAAGGAAAGAAGATTTCATAATTAATTCTACCTTCAGATTTGATTCTCCTAGCTTATATGGGACTTCTAAAGGGCAACAAATCTGATTCTATCATATTTAGGATATTAATTTTAGATTTATTATTATTATTATTATTATTTTCTTTTTAGTTTAGGGTTTATTTATATTAATCATATTTTATTATAAGTGGGTATCATATGAGTCCACATAAAGTATCCATTAGGGTTTATTTTAGTTTGGAGTCACTATAAATAAAAGTATAACCAGATATGAAAGGTTAGGCAATTCAGATTAATAAAACTCCATGTTTGTCGCACTTTGTGTGTGTGTGTGTGTGTGTGTGTGTTAGTGAGATAATCTCTCTTTTATAGTCCTCTAAAAAACTGAAAACGACTTATTGAAGAACAACTAGCTTCGTGGCGTCATCCTTATACCTCTTGTTCACGAATCAATATTCGTTGGGTGGGGGTTTTCCATTTCCAATAGTGATGGTATCTAGATATAAATTATCTTTGTGTCACACTCCTAACAAACCTAATTTACTTGGCTTTGTAGGAATTTGTGTCATTGTATGTGAGTTGCATGACCACATGATCATGAGACAATACCTTTCTGCTGTAAAAAATCATAAAATTCATATGACATATACTCCCCACCCGAATCATATCTTAATACCAATAGAAAATTAAGTCTCAATGTAAGCAAAAAAGGACTTGAAAACATAAAAGACCTCAAATTTGGAACGAAGGAAATACACCCAAGTAAACCGAATGCAATCATTAATAAATGTCACAAAGTACTTGTAATGAGCATGAGAAATGATTGGTGTAGGATTCCAAACATCACTATGAATAATATCAAAGTATTTTGTAGCATGACTGCCATGGAAAGGGAAAGGAAGAGTTTTACTCTTGCCTTATTTACATGTAGAATAGTAAAAAAAAACATCATGAGAGGAAAATTTAGTTTTATTTCCCAACAAACCAGAATTCAACGATCGAGACAAAACAATAGAATTTGGATGGCCTAAACGTTTATGCCATACTTTACTCTTATTTTAAATAGTTGTACAAGCAAAAGATAGACAACGAGGAATGGAAAAATATCGCAAAAATATTCTTCTAACTTTAGGCCCCTTCACAATTATCTTCCCCGACACTTGATTTTGCACAAGACAACCATTACGAGAAAAATGCACATCACAGTTATCATCCACCAATTGACTAACCGAAATAAGATAGTAGACAACTTTGGTGATACAAAAACATTCTTGAAAGTTGGAGTGATATCTCTAACCTTAGTAGTGGGTATATGACCACAATTGGCAACCTGAATTTGTGATGAACCCTGATACTCACGCATATTTTTAAGCATACTAGATGAGTGGGTCATATGATATGAGTCAGCAGAATCAGCAAGCCAAAATTGAGAATTAGAATTATTACCTTGTAGCTCCAAGGGTAAAAAACTTGTAAGAATCATCTGTTGTAATTCAGGAGTCATCCAGCTATCATAAATGAGTTGTTGGACACCACAGCTTGAAAAGCATTTATTCTACAGTTTTGAGGATGAGTGGGACAATCTTTGATAATATGGCTTTGTTGTTTGCAATAATTGTAGAGCTTCTTTCTACAATCATTAGCAATGTGTCCATATTCTTTACAGTTATAGCATTGTATTTGCTTATATTCCAGCCCCTTCCTTTTCCCTGAGCTGCAAAAGCAACTATAGCTAAATTGTCCTCAAAATGATCTTGTGTAAAGAGATGTTATTCTTTGTGCAGCAATTCCCCAAAACAAACATCCAAGGAGGGCAAAGGATCTTGATTCATTAAATAGAAAGAATTCTGATTTACATCCAATAAAATCTGCTACTATTAACTATAATCTTAGCCTAATTATAGAAAGTCAATTACACTATAATTACACAAATATTTACAGTTGTTTTCTTGATATATATATATATATATATAGAAACTAATGATTCTAATGAAAAAGACCATGCTAACACTAGATATGTACTCAGTACTTAGAGTAATAATACCAAACTACCAATCCACATAAAAGTGATTAAGGGAAACGAAATTCCAATGCCTAGAAGTGTGAAAGCCATACAATGAAATTATGTTAAATTTAGCATCACTTGATCCAAAATAAAAAAATTTATCCGATACACTACTAGATTGTTTGTACATGCACGCGTATAATACAGATGAGACATAAAAGAATAGAAACCCATACCTTCATTTAGAATAGATAAGGTTTCTCTTTCCTGTATTGAATCAAGGGTATTTCAGCACACAACAATCAAATACAAATAAATCATAATTTAGAAAACCATGAGGAATAAGAGAAAGTAGTGTTAGTTGTATAGCATCAGTTTCTATAATAACTGCCAAAGAAGTCTAAGCACTCGTGAGCATGCATGAGATAAATCTCCTAATTTGAACTTATGTTATTTCTATTCAAATGCCAATATTACAAACCTATAATATTGCTTTAACTCTATTTCCCTGTATGATAATAAATCAAAGTGATAAGTCAAATCAACTTTGTTGATTGATCTGGCTGATCTGACTAGCATTTGTTTGTCCTATAAACGAGTATCTAAAAAAATTTCATGAAATCATGAATAGAAAAACTTAGATAAAAATCAATAATTCATATGAATATGGGATAGCCAACCATATTAAATGTTGCGAGAAGATTATAGACTAATTTCAAATTTTGCCTAAGTATTGTTTCATTTATAACTTTGGGTTGCCAGTTCTTCGAATTAACAACAGCTATAACTTGACCCAAAATGCTTATGAATCACTCAAAAGTAGTCGTAATCTTTTCACTAAACTTGTCAAATGTTATATATTAGCTTGAATGAAGCATTATGTATCATAAACACAAACTTTCTTATAAGAAACAAGTGTAGGCCAACAAAAAAAAAGTAATCATTTTTCAACCCAATGAACAAGAAAAGTAAAACTATTAGTTTTTTTTCCTTGAAAAAACAGAAACTTACTTGGGTTCAGCTTCATGTTTTCTTTCACGTTTAGTTTTCCTTAGTTCCCTTTCTTTCTGCAGGAGTTCATATTTTATGTGATACTCTTCAATTTTGTGCGCATTAGGTTCAACCTATGGATTTAATTATACTATCAGAAAACATTTATTGTACCAACTCATGATACAGAACGGCAGATTGCCTTTTTCAGCACTAAACCAATCTCATCATCATAATCCAACTTTGATGCCATTTGCAGCTCATTTGCTGCTTGTTCCTGTTGGCCTAACATGGCTCTGGTCATGCCTCGTACTTTATATCCTTCTACAAAGTCTGGATTGATCTAATGAATAAAATTCACCTCTATAAGTCATGTTTTTCCAATGGGATAAATACAAACATATGATAGCTGATTAATCTAAAATCTTAAGACTTTTTCAATTGTCGATACAAAATAGGTTATGGAAAGCACTCAGCCATAGGCTTACTACCAGAGCAGCATCAACATCACGAATTGTAGCATGAGGTTTCTTCAGTTTAACAAAGATACTAGCTGGAAAAATAAAAAGCATCTTAGGACATTGAGAAAACAATGAAGTAACAGGGTAAGGCCAGGCTTCAAATAAGAACTGAAAATTGGATTTCAAATTAGATAACATATCATTTTGTAAAAAATAAAACCTACCTCGCGTGGCATTTAATATAGTTGAAATTGGATTCAACATGATGGCTTCTGTTAAATGATCTATAGCTTCATCCAGGTTACCTAGAAAATAAGACAAAACTTGGCAAAGAACGCTAATAAATCTCTATCTAAAAATCTAATTGCAAAGGCCTATGGTGTACCTTTAGAAATTGCATCCATAACTTTTGCCTTTTCAGCTTGAGTAGCATCCCGCTTTTCTTCTGTAACTTCAACTGCAGGATCTCCCATCTGTAAATACAAAACATGTATGCTTAGCCGATGCATAAAACATTATAAAGGCCTCAGTACCAACTAAATATGAGTGGTTGAACTCAACAAACACTTTCAATCACCTTTTGTGGAGGATCATTATCAGGTTCCACAACATCAGTATTATCCAAATCAATATCAGACTCAATAATATCATCATCTTCAATTGGTTTTTTGGAATCACAGCATTCCCCAAAGTCAGACATGTTAATATCACCTTTCTCCTGTATAAGAACATGTTTCTATTAGCATGTAAATATTTCCATATGAAAAGGTAAAAGGCAAATTACCCTTCAAGTTATATAAAAAAAAATTAATTTTTTTTAAAAAGCTCCATAGTCATAATAAAAAAGTCATAATAAAAAAGAAGGAGTGCTACTCATCTTTTTTTTTTTGTGCCACGTAAATTATAGACATATGAACTCATAATCCACGAAGCTAGAGTCCAAAGCCTAGAAGCACTATTTTTGCCAGAGAATGAAACAGTATAGAAAAAATATTAAAGAAGAAGCCATTTTTTATGAAATAAAAGGCAGCGTGATATTCCAGAGTAAAAATCACAAGGAAATAAAGAGATTAATGAAATGTTTTAACTATAAAATCCTTTTTTTTTCCTTTATTTTAATAACTCCATATATTATCATTTACAACTCAATATTTCATCAGTTAGGAGAAATTTCTGTAGTACACTGATTAGTTTGTATATATTCTGTTAAAAAATTGTAACTTTTTTTATCCTCATTTGTTTCCATTTCAAGAAATGATCATAAGAAAATGAAAAAGACTCCTCATCTTCCCTATAAATTAGTATAGAAAACCATCCTTTAAAATACTTCAACAATATATAACTACTAGAGATTAAGTTACACCTCATTTCCTGTGACAACAATATAATTCGAAATCCTATGGAGCTAGAAGATTTCTGCATTATTACATAACCCAGAAGCAAAAGCATGCTAAAAAAATGAAAAATTTATAAACTAGAAGTGAAGGAACCGTACCTCATCAGTTTTTTCTCTAGAGGAACTCGAGCACCTAGGCTGCAAACACTTCAAAATGAAACAAAACACTAATAAATCCTCAAGACAAGAAACAAAAAATACTAAGACGATTAGATAGATAAAGGTAGGAAATTCAAACCTTTGAAGAAAACAAGAAATGAGGAGTGGAGAATTGAAGGGTAAGTCTTGCACTGATCAAAAGTGTTCGAGTTATGTTGTTTTAGCGGCATCCATTTAGAATAATATTATATGCTTCTCTATCTTTTTTTCTTTATCTATGGAGAATCTAGAAAGCGAGTAAGCACTTAGAACCTTCTACTGCTTTTGTTTTCAACATGCTTCATGTTAGTGGGAAATAACAAACAGATCATCTAATTATTTCTTGATTCTCAATTTAATTCTTGATAAGACCTGTTTTTTTATTTTATTTTTTTTGAAAATTTTTCATTTTTTTTATTTTTTCAAATCATTTTAATATACTTTTAATAAAAAAATACTTTTAAAAACAACTAAAATTCTACTTTTAAACATCCCTTAAATTACATTGCTATAAATTAGGGGATTAGGATTGCCTTGGGTTTAAATTAATTTGGGTCCATATTATTTTTGAATCTAGATCATGACAACACTTAATCCTAATTCTAATTTTAACTCACGAGGTTTAGTGGGGTTGATAATTTTTTAAAAAAAGAAAAAAGAATGCAACTGTGTACCATATATATTGTAATTTGTAAATACATCATAGATTTATACATGATAAGTAATTAAAATTAATAAAACAAAGATGCAATTAATTATAAGATATTATTATATTGTTTAGCAAATCTTAAATATAGACTCATAAATGAGTATATATGCATCTAGCAGCGATTTTTTTTTTAAAAAAAAAAAAATTATTGGATTTATATAGATAAATCTAAGAAGTTAATCATGATGGAACATAATTCTTAAATTATCATAGTACTTGATATATCAAAGAATTTAGAAATACATGAACAGCAAGTAATTTAACTAAGAAGAAAATTTTCATCCCATAAGAGTTATTGATGGTATTTATTTTTATTTTTTTGTCAAATAAAGATTTCATTTACCATTTTCTATTATCTTATTTCATTTAACTATTATAAATTATAATTTGTTGAGCTTCTATTTATGCTCCTCGCAACTTTTGCATTGTTTACAGCGTTCATCAACCAGATTTGATGATTTTATCCTTTTTTTTTTACAATTTGTTTTCATGATTTTTTTCTCCTCGTTGTATTTGAATTGATGAACAAGATGTTGTCCAATAGATTATTATAAGCATATTTGTATTACATTAATGTTTATTTATGTTTTGATCCATTGATTTTTATTTCATTATATTTTTTTTATTTATCATTTTACATGTGTTTTTGTATTTGACAAATTAGGTTGAATAGATTTTTTTTTGGTCATTTTCTTATAATAAGTTAGTTGTGTTAACTTAATTTTACAAAATGTATGATAAATGTGCAATGTTTTAATTTTTTTTTCAAATAAATTAGGATGTGATTTGGGTTTTAGCAAAGAAAAAAAAATAAGAATTATTTCATACATGACCCTCCATTGATGCCTTCCAATGAAAGTGTTGTCATTTATGATTGTTCTCTTTAATGAAGGATTATAGGAACTATTTCATGTTTTTTGCTTATAAAATTATTTAAAAGTATGTTATTAATGTCAAATATAAATAATTGGATTATGATAATATATAAAAAAAACATTTTTTCTAATTGTTTGAGCCTTACTTAAATGACTGGAAGTTCCTGCAATTTCAGTGACACCACTTAATACTCAGCATTTGAAATGCCCTTACATACATAATATTTTTGGGTTTCCAAATAAATTTTCTAAGCAAATGAATCTTTTTTGGCATATACTTTTTTCTATGTAGAACAAGTATTATCTTTAAAGTCAATGACACTATTTATTACTAATATTTTCATAAATAGTGCATATGGCATGAAACAATAATCAATGTAACAACCATGGCTAGTCAATAATAGTTCATATTCAATTTGATGATAAGTACTTTAGCCTACTTCAATTATCCTCTTAAGTGAATAAATTTTTTGTGCTCATTTAAATGTAAACACATCTTTAAGGAATGTAACATTTTTTAGTTCTATTATTTTATTAAGATGAGTATCATTAATATTTGACTTGTGTACATAAAATTAATATGCACTATTATTGTAAGTATATCCAATAAAAATACAATACATAATTTTGTATCTTTGGGGATAAAGTATTGTCACTTTTACAAAACACCCTCACACTTTTGAGATATTTATAAAAAAAGATGTTATATCTTTCTACAATTCATATGATATCTTCTTTAATTTGGGTATTTTTTCAATTGTAGAATTGATAGTCAAGATTCTACACTCACAAGTTCTAAAGGGCTTTCAAATTTATTAACATGATATTCATTATGTTTTTAGAGCTTGGTTTTTTATTTCAACAATGTTATTTTGTTAAGATAAATAAATAGTAGTAGTTTGGTAGATAATAACATATTGACAATAAAATTCACCGAAAGGTGTTTTTCACTCTCCATCATTATCACTTTTTATTCCCTATATCTTTTTTTAAATTAATTTTCAACTTCTAATTTTAAAAACTTTTTGCTTCTAACAAAATATGTATAATAATTCAAGATTAATTAGTAAGTATATGTGTAACAATACTTGTTTATAAAAGTAATGCAATATTTTTTCCACTTCTAGATTACATAAGTTTTAATAACCAATAATTGAGAAAATTAAATTTAGAAGTTAACTATTTTTAATTATTTGAAAAAAAAATTATGAATTTTAATTTTACAAAAACTCCCCACTTATGCTTTTTTCAAAAACTTTCAAATAAGGTTGTGGTATTTTTTTTTTTAATATTAGTGGGTGTATTTTTTCAAAAACTTTCAAATAAGGTTGTGGTTTTTTTTTTAATATTAGTAGGTGTTTTTTTTTTTGCGACCTTACATAATATTTTTTAATTTAATTTTATTCAATTATTTTTATGTTCATGTTTATTTTTATTAATATATAATTAGTAAAAAATCAAAGTTATTAAATACAATTAGATCAATGGCCTATTTTGCAATATTAGATATCTTTATCTATATTTATTTGTATAATTAACATTAACAACTATTTTTTTCTTTTAATTACACATATATTTCAAGATTTATTTAATTATATGAATACATTAGCCATAAAATTTACGCATCTTTCTGAAACTTAACAAAACGACTTCCAACTGTTGCTTGGGGTGCATTTGTCGGACATAATTAGAAATTTTCTTTTAAAAAAAAAACAATAAATACAATTAGAAAGGTGAATTAAATTTATTCTGTCTGGATCTTATTGGTTTGTCCATGACCCCCACCAACCAGTTATGTCACAATTTTGCTGGCCCTGGCTTTTATTCTTTGGCTTTGAAAGGCCAAAGGTTATGAAAAAGAAACATACAAACAAACAGAGAACGAAAGAAAAAGGCTGGTCTCTAGCGCACAATGTAACGAAGACAGAACAAGCACCGGAAACATCAAGGCAAATTAATGAAGAAAACAAGGGAGGTTAAATCCAGAAAAAGAAAGGCTGTACCATCTCGATTTTGTCTGCAATCCACATGGTTCATCCCTCACCTTTTTATAGCCTACCAGAATTCTAACTTCAGTTCTCAAGGAATTCTTGAAACCAATCTTTGGCTAAGCCAAAAACAAGATCAAAGGGTGCTCACTGATCTCCATCGACGATGAAGAACCTAGGCCGGTCAGATGCAAATAACAATCTTGAGACTCTCTTAGACATGGACAAAACGGCATTACATAAGAAAAATGGAGTGCCAGCGGAACCCCGGAAGATGATGGCAGGACATGGCCTGGAGTTCAAGAACCTGTCATATAGTGTCATGAAAAAGCAGAAGAAAGACGGGGTGTGGATCACCAAAGAAGCATATCTTCTCAATGATATCTCTGGACAGGCTATAAGGGGTGAGGTTATGGCTATTATGGGGCCTAGTGGTGCTGGGAAGTCCACATTTCTTGACGCCATTGCTGGTCGGATTGCAAGAGGGAGTCTCCAGGGATCTGTTCGGATAGATGGAAAACCGGTTGGTTATCTACTATACCTCTCATTCAATCTTGAAAATATCTGATATTGCTCAACAACATGGTTATATATAAGGCATCTTCTGTGCAGGTAACTACAAGCTACATGAAGATGATTTCATCTTATGTAATGCAAGATGACCAGCTCTTCCCCATGTTGACTGTTTTTGAGACCTTCATGTTTGCAGCTGAAGTCAGACTTCCTCCTTCAGTTTCGAGGGCTGAGAAGAAGAAAAGAGTCCATGAGCTCCTTCACCAACTGGGCTTAACGGTATGACTTCTTCTTCCTGATCACTCACACAGTCACCGAGACATGTACTACATTATGTGAGCATAAACTTGAAGTTAGTAGCATATTTGGTTCTGCAGAGTGCAACACATACGTATATTGGGAACGAGGGAAACAGAGGAGTGTCAGGAGGGGAAAGGCGAAGAGTGTCCATAGGAATTGATATTATCCATAAGCCATCCCTGCTGTTCCTTGATGAACCTACTTCGGGTCTTGATTCTACAAGTGCCTACAGTGTGGTTGAAAAGGTGAAGGACATAGCTCGGGGTGGTAGTATAATCTTGATGACTATCCACCAGCCATCTTTCAGGATTCAAATGCTCTTGGACCGTATCACGATTCTTGCAAGGTAAAATGCTTGAAAAACTCAATTCCTATAAAACCCTGGAATTGTACCCATCAGATTCTCCGCTAGTGTTATTACATCTTGCTTGCTAAGACATCAAACCATGCAAACAGGGGAAGACTGATATATATGGGAAGCCCAGTTGCTCTTCCTAACTATCTTTCTAGATTTGGAAGGCCTATTCCTGATGGTGAAAACAGCATTGAGTATTTCCTGGACGTGATCAAGGAGTATGATGAATCAACCGTGGGACTTGATCCCCTTGTGTTTTACCAACGCGACGGTATCAAACCGGATCAAGCGGCACAGACACCAGTCCGCAAAACACCAAGAACAGCAAGGACACCACGTTTGGCTACCCGCAAAACACCAAGAACAGCAAGGACACCACGTACTCCTTACAGGAAGACCCCTCTGTCAAAGTATGCCATCAGCCTCCGAAGCCAAGGATTCTCGGGTACAGGAGATATGACATCTCAAGCGGACTCTGGTCAATTTGATTACTACGACGAAGATGATGATGAGGAATTTGACAACTCCCTGGAACGGAAACCTGTACGGACACCAATGCAAAGTGGTGTTCATAATCCTCGTTTGGCTTCTCAATTCTACAAAGAGTTTCCAGTCTGGGTCTACCATGGTATCAAAGGAACTCCTCGCCGAGCACCGTCATGGACTCCGGCGAGAACTCCAGGAAGGACACCCGGGAAAACACCAATGACTGGGCCAAGAAGCCAATCTTCGAGCCGATTCTCAACACCACAGCATGTTGTTTCTCGTCCAAAACCCCTAGAATTTTCTAACCCCTCGCTGGACCGATATTCCCCTTCTTACGAAGAATTAAGTTGTGAGGAAGAGCTTGATGAGTCAGATCACGGTCCTAAATTTGCAAACCCATGGCTCCGGGAGGTAGCAGTTCTTTCATGGCGCACAGTACTTAACGTGGTTCGCACTCCTGAGCTTTTCCTCTCGAGAGAGATCGTATTAGCTGTTATGGCACTCATTCTATCCTCACTTTTCAAGAACCTGGGTCTTCCATCTTTCCAAGACATTAACAGGCTTCTCAATTTCTACATCTTCGCAGTTTGTCTTGTTTTCTTTTCATCCAATGATGCTGTCCCAACTTTCATCCAAGAAAGGTTCATCTTCATCAGAGAAACCGCCCACAATTCCTACCGCGCTTCTTCCTATGTCATCTCCTCACTGATAGTGTATCTCCCTTTTTTCGCTGTACAAGGCTTGACATTTGCTGCCATCACCAGATTCTTGCTTCATCTGAAAAGCAATCTCTTCAACTTTTGGTTGATTCTTTATGCATCCCTCATAACTACTAATGCCTATGTGATGCTTGTTAGCGCGCTTGTCCCGAGTTATATCACAGGTTATGCCGTCGTGATTGCGACAACTGCTCTATTCTTCCTGACCTGTGGGTTCTTTTTGAAGCGCTTGCAGATACCTATCTACTGGAGGTGGCTCCATTACATATCTGCAATTAAATATCCCTTTGAGGGAATGCTATCAAATGAGTTTAAAGGCTCAAGATGCTATTCAGGGAACCCTTCAGAACTTTCACCAGGCCCTCTCGGAGAGATCAGACTCAGCCAACTGCATAATGACTCAAAATTAGAGCCAAACTGCATGTTGATTGGGCAGGATATTCTATTCTCCATGGATATTAAGATGGACAGTATTTGGTATGACATCGCTATCTTGTTAGCTTGGGGAGTTCTTTATCGGTTCTTCTTCTACCTGGTTCTTAGATTCTACTCCAACAATCAGAGGAAATGAAGCTGCCTTGTTTACTGTTGTTTTGCCGTTTGCATTTGTTTTTGTTCCAAATCAACGCTTTGTCTTAAACTCTAGGCCATGACTAATACAATATATAATCCATATACTATGACAATTATGTAGTTGAATGTTTAGGGATTTCTTGTTTTCTAATTTAGAACATAACTGGAAATCATGGAAGCATGCAAAGCATGGTGGGATTTTCAAACAACGAAGCTCTTTGTTTTTGTTGCTCTTAGAAATGGAAATCAAGGCAATGACAAATGTAATTAGTCTTATAAACATAAATAAACATTTTTCAGCATGAACAAAATGTATTCTCTCTGCTATATCATTACTATACTCAAATCAGGATAGCTTCCATGCCAAGTTCCCAACCTTATTTGGAGGCTCAACTAGGACTTCGATAGAAAAACCATAATTATTATGTTTTGTCCGTACAAACAAGAATAAATCCCAAAAGAAGCATAGCTTGAGCGTGCCTCTTCTATTAAAAATATAATAATCTCATACATTTCTCACGTCTTAATATCGTTGTTAAGTTTGATTACAGAAAACACATCCAAGGCTCTCGCCGTAGATTAGCTCGAGACTAGCCTGCATGTTGTTCAATTTTCCTTTCCAGTCCATTTTTATCAGCCCCCACAACCTTGTCAATCTCCTTGCCATTCTTTGTAAAGTAGAAGGTAGGAGCACTGCTGATATTCCAGCTTGAAGCAACTTCCCTTGCCTCGTCTATGTCAACTTTCAAGAAAACGACTTTCGGGTACTTTGCAGCTAAACTTGTGAAAATGGGAGAAATCATACGACATGGCCCACACCATGTTGCCGTGAAGTACAAGATTGCAAGGCGAGAAGTTTTTGATGCAGCATTCAGTTTGGGATCTAGTTCCCTAGCAGAATGAATGCCTATAACCTGCACTGTTCATATAAAAAAATAAAAAACCATGGTAAGGTGACCTAGAGACACCATTCTCCTTGAAACACCATAAAAATGACAAGTATATCTAAAAAATTTATCAAGTTATCTCCTCCACTCAGAAAGTTACAAGAGATATCCTAGTCTCTTTTGACTCTTCAATAACTATAGTGGTCAAAAACATAACAAATGACTATCATTAACTCTTTTAGATAAACATTCTTAAGAGCAAGCAACGGCCTTTCTATGTTCACATATTTCACTGCTCCTGGTTCTGCCCTAACAACGTTACTATGATTATTCTCTCACCCTTCACTGTACTTGATCGTATGCATGACAAATATACATAAGTTATTGAGTGCTGGACATCAAAAACTAATGAAAAATACACTAAAACACACACATTAATTACAGCAATACACTAAATGACGGACGAACTACAACACTTGACACATACATAAACCAAACACAAGAACAGAAATGACATAAGAAGACTGGAGACATCTGGAAAAAGAGCAAGTCTGTTCACTGTTAGCATTCTTTTATGCTATTTAATTAATCACTTAAAGAAAAAGGCCTTGATTACCCATGAATTTCTTCTTCCTGGTTGCACCAATACAAACCACCCCCTCACCCAACAAAGAAGAAGAAATAAATGCCCTAAACTACGCAGGGACGTGTGGTATTTCAAAAAAGGTAGGACTGACCCAGAAAAAGTTGATTCACTCAAAATCTAATTTATAAATTGAGAAAAATATGTTATTTTTTAAAAACATATTTATTTTAGTTTGAAATTTAATTTTTAAAGGTTTGATTAAATTAAAACTAAACTTAAATTTAAATAAAAAATACTTATAATAATTATTACTATTATCATATCACTATATAGAAGTCACTAGAACTAGATATTAAATTAATAATTATTTCTAACATTATTTCATAAGAAATATATATATATAGTTTTATGTGTATATGATTTTATAAGAAATATGTATATAATTTTATGTGTATAAATTGAAATGAGTGTCGTTTTATATGCATTAATTTTTTTAAATTTAAAAATATAAAATTAAAAAAGTTATTATAAAATCTAATTAACAAGTAATTAATACACAACTAATTATATATCATTTGTTTAATTTAATTTAAATTAATATCATTTATTTTTTTTATCAATTTTATGAAAAATTAATTTTTAAAAAAATTACAGCATGATAATAAAATTAATAAAATATAATTATTTATTACTTATTTACATGTAGAATAGTAAAAAAACATAATAAGAGGAGAATTTAGTTTTATTTCCCAACAAACCAGAATTCAATGATCTAGACAAAACAATAGAATTTGAATGGCCTAAATGTTTATGCTATGCTTTACTTTTATTTTAAATAGTTGTATAAGCAAAAGATAGAAAAGGAGGAATAGAAAAATACCGCAAAAATAATCTTTTAACTTTAGGCCCTTCACGATTATCTTCCCCGACACCTGATTCTGCACAAGACAACCATTACAAGAAAAATGCACATCACAGTTATCATCCACCAATTGACTAACTGAAATAAGATAGTAGACAACTTTGGTGATACAAAAACATTATTGAAAGTTGGAGTGATATCTCTAACATTAGTAGTGGGTATATGACCACAATTGGCAACCTAAATTTGTGATAAACCCTGATACTCACATATATCAGCAGAATCAGCAAGCTAAAATTGAGAATTAGAATTATTACCTTGTAGCTCCAAGAACAAAAAACTTGTAAGAATCATTTATTGTAATTCAGGAGTCATCCAGCTATCACAAATGAGTTGTTGGACACCACAGCTTGAAAAGCATTTATTCTATAGTTTTGAGGACGAGTGGGACAATCTTTGATAATATGGCTTTGTTGTTTGCAATAATTGTAGAGCTTCTTTCTACAATCATTAGCAATGTGTCCATATTCTTTACAGTTATAGCATTGTATTTGCTTATATTCCAGCCCCTTCCTTTTCCCTGAGCTGCAAAAGCAACTATAGCTAAATTGTCCTCAAAATGATCTTGTGTAAAGAGATGTTATTCTTTGTGCAGCAATTCCCCAAAACAAACATCCAAGGAGGGCAAAGGATCTTGATTCATTAAATAGAAAGAATTCTAATTTACATCCTATAAAATCTGCAACTATTAACTATAATATAATCTTAGCCTAATTATAGAAAGCCAATTACACTATGATTACACAAATATTTACAGTTGTTTTCTTGATATATATATATATATATATAGAAACTAATGATTCTAATGAAAAAGACCATGCTAACACTAGATATGTACTCAGTACTTACAGTAATAATACCAAACTACCATCCACATAAAAGTGATTAAGGGAAAAGAAATTCCAATGCTTAGAAGTGTGAAAGCCATACAGTGAAATTATGTTAAATTTAGCATCACTTGATCCAAAATAAAATTTTTATCTAATACATTACTAGATTGCTTATGCGTGCATGCGCATAATGCAGATGAGACATAAGAGAATAGAAACCCATACCTTCATTTAGAGTAGATAAGGCTTCTCTTTCCTGCATTGAATCAAGGGTATTTCAGCACATAACAATCAAATACAAATAAATCATAATTTAGAAAACCATGAGGAATAAGAGAAAGTAGTGTTAGTTGTATAGCATCAGTTTCTATAATAACTGCCAAAGAAGTCTAAGCACTCGTGAGCATGCATGAGATAAATCTCCTAATTTGAACTTATGTTATTTCTATTCAAATGCCAATATTACAAACCTATAATATTGCTTTAACTCTATTTCCCTGTATGATAATAAATCAAAGTGATAAGTCAAATCAACTTTGTTGATTGATCTGGCTGATCTGACTAGCATTTGTTTGTCCTATAAACGAGTATCTAAAAAAATTTCATGAAATCATGAATAGAAAAA